CAGCAGGCAAACACTGGCCCGCCCCCCCCACCCCCACTTCCCCCCCACCCCCCCTTCCCGATCTGCTCAGCGAGGCCCGCTAACCTATTGCACAAGAGTTCGTTTGGCGGGAGGCCAAAGGGAGCCGGAACGCCCTCAGCGGGGCTCTAGAGCGAAACGTTGAAAGCGTCTCGTTTAAAACACAGGCGCTCCCTCTCCGAGGCCGAGATTAGGAAAAGTTAACACTGATTTCTTTTTCTTTTTTTCTTTTCTTTCTTTCTTTCTTTCTTTCCCTCCCCTCCCCCCCCCCCGCCCCCCCCCCCACCGCGCTCTCTCCCGGCTTAGCTGTGACCGTGAAGGGATTCGTTGTAGTCCATTATGTGGAGCGATTCGACGCTGCTTTCTTGATTTCGGGGGGAGGGCGTGGGTTCCGCGGGGCCCGGGGACAGGGGTGGGGCCCCCGGGGCTTCTAGGCCGGGCCCCTTGCACAGCTCAGTCTTTAGCGTGCCGCAGAGGCTCTGGAGGGGCCCCCGGTCTTCGTCGCACTGGCTCTCGCTCTTATTGCGGAAGAGCTCGCGGGCTTTCATGCCCAGGAAGCTCTCCGAACTTGGGAAGGAACCCACCGTCAGTTGGCTGCGGGGGGCAGGAGGCGCCTGCCGTGCGGAGGCCTCCCAGCAGCTGTTGCTGAACTGTCCGCCCCGTTCGCCGAGGGCCTTTTCCGGACTGGATCCGCTGCTGTTGCCTTTACTGCTGCTGCTGCTATGGTGAGCCTGGGGTCCCGAAGAGTTGGCCGCCCCGTTCCTGCCCAGCATTTCTTCGCCACATCCGGCAACCGGATGACACGGGCCTTCACTTGCCCCCGAGAGCCTGTGGGGAAGGAGGACAAGCAGTGGGTGAGGACGGCGGCATTGCAGGCTAAACTCTGCATTCTGTCAGCAGTTTGATCCTGACCGGCTCGAGGTTTGACTCAGCCTTCCGTCCTTCCGAGGCCGGTAAAACGAGGACCCCGATTCTTGGGGGCAAAAGGCTGACTCTGTAAACCGCTTAGAGCGCTGGAAAGCACCGTGAAATGGTATGTAAATGCTATTGCTAAAATCTTTATCTTATCTTCTTTATCTTACCTTCATCTTATCGTATCCCATCCATCCATCCATCACCTACCGTAATGTAAGAATTGTGGTGGCGCAGTGGTTAGAGTGCAGTATTGCAGGCAAATTCTGCGTTCCACTGTCAGGAGTTCGATCCTGTCCGGCTCAAGGCTGACCATTTGGGTCAGTAAGAAGCCAGGTCAGGCTTGGGGAGGGAGGGAGGCGTTTACCTTTCTTCAGCCATTTCTGCTGTTTCCATTTTGTCCTCCTCCCGTTTCTTCTGCAACCGGTCGCTATCCAGGCAACTGTACAGGCGTAGTATCTCCAGTTCAAAGGTTTGCGTGATCTGTTTCTGCACTCTGTGCTGCTGCTCGACGGTCTGCAGCTGGTCCCTGCAAGGGACACAAAGCCACTCAGAACGGAACGGAACACTAATCAACACAAGTGTGATTTAGACACACGCAAGGAATTCGATGCCGGTGCGGAAGCTCTCACGTCTACAGGTACGAGGTCTTGACTTACAACAAGAGTGTCAAATTCAAGGCCTGGGGGCTTCGATCTGGCCCAGGGGGCCACCCTGGAAATAGCAAAGGACCAGCCCGCCAGGCCTCTGCCACCAAAAATGGAGCTTGGGTAAGCCACGGATTCCCCCCCCCCCCCGGCCCCATTTTTGCTGGCAGGAGGTCATGATGACGTTACCTAGTTGGGTTAAACGTCTGCAGGAAAACCACTAAGCTCAGAGGGCACCAAAGACACTGCTCTACTTTCTAAGTTAGCCTAGGGCTTCCTGCAAAGCCAAGCCCAAAAATAAAAGGGGGGGGGGGCATTCCTCAAGGCAACCTGGCTTGGAGTTTGACATCCTCCAGGTATTTCTTCTGCTCCAGCAACAGGTGATCCTTCTTGGTAAGCTGAGATTCCAGTTCTGTAATCCGGTTCTGAGACGCTTCCACTTTCTGATTCTGGAGGAGGAGGAAGGATTTGGCTCTCTCCAGCTCCTTCCGGAAGGCTGTCTGCATGATCCCCACTTCCTGGAGGAGGAGGAGGAGGAGGAGGAGGAGGAGGAGGAGGAGGAGGAGGAGGAGGAGGAGGAGGAGGAGAAGAAGAAGAGAGAAATTCAGCATCGGGAGGGACCTCCCAAGAGAAGACAAACAGAATCTGGGTTCAAAATACAGAACAGGTGGGAAGGCTTTGTAGTCTTGTATTCATCATCTTCTAATGACCCCATAATCCCTTGTGGGGTGGAGTCTTGAGCAAATGAATGGAGCGGAGTGTTTACTGGCTGGATGCCTTTCCTGCCGCCAAGGCGGAGTTTTGTTCAGCAGATAGATTCCCATTGTCTGGATTTTTGTTATCAGGGGGCCGAGAGAACAAGCCAGCCAACTGCGGGGCAGGTTGGCAACTAACACGAATCGGGTCTAGCAAAGTTACCTTGGTGGTGTCGGCATGCTTGTTCTGAAGCTGCTCCAGGTACAGCTCGTTCACCTCTCCGAGCACCAGCAGCTGCCTGTTCAAAAACTCCATCTGCTGTTGCACAGACTCGCTGTTGGAGAGCTGGATGGAGGAGAAAATATTTAAGGCGTGTCTCTTTGAAGCCCTTCCACTGATTCATTGGTCGATCCGGGAATTTCTCCTTAGCTCTAGGTTGCTTCTCTCCTTCGTTTGTTTCCACCCTTTGCTTCTTGTCCTGCCTTCTGAAGGGGCTTTGGAGAATAGCTTGACTGCCTCTTCTTTGGGGCAGCCCCTCAGATACTGGAATATGCTGCTATCATGTCTCCCCTAGTCCTTCTTTTCATCGGACTAGACATACCCGGTCCCTGCAAACATTCTTGATACGTTTTAGCTTCCATCCCCTAATCATCTTTGTGGCTCTTCTCTGCACTCTTTCTAGAATCTCTACAACTTTTTTACATCGTGGCGACCAAAACCGCATGCAGTGTTCTAGCTTTGTTCTTACTAAGATGCACCAACATTTTCAGAAGTGGATTGTCACTGCTTTTCTTTTCTTTTCTTTTCTTTTCTGAAGCTAAGAGGTGGACCAGACGTCTCTTGTGGTTCCCCAACCCCCCAAACAACTTCAAAACAATCCACTATCAAAGCCAGACAGCATAAGAACACAAAGCACTTAACTCACTCCAAGAACCTCAAACCTCCAGACTAACCCCCCCACCAAAGAACGGGGATCCTGACCAAGGCGTACCACCTGTTCCGTGGGTTCCTATTTCTTTGTTTTTAAGGGTGTACAAAGGGCAATGACCCACCCTCTTCTCCCCCGTGGAAATGAGGCGGCCTTGAGTTCCTGAGAGGAAAAGCAGGAAACCCGGAAGCAGCCCGAGCTCTTTTTACCTTCTGTGAAACTTGGCTCAGCAGCAATTCTGTGTGGCACACCTTGTTGTTGGATTTTTTCAGCTCAGACCGCAAATCTCGGATTACGTTGGAGCAATCTTCCAGTTTGGTCTGGTTAAGCAATAAAAGGGCATCCATTTGTCCAGTTTTTGCAAGGATCCCAGTCGTAATTCAACCATTTATATCCAGCCTTTTATTATTTTTAGAATAAAGCTCAAGCAGGCAAATGCACGCTATTCTCTTCCCTCCTATTTTCCCCATAACAACATGGGCAGAGAGAGACTGGCCCGAAGTCAGCCAGCCAGCCAGCCAGCTTTCATGCCTGAGTTGGGAGTAGAACTCCCAGTCTCCTGGTGCTTGGCCCAAGGTCAGCCCAGCTGGCTTTCTTAGCTAAGGAGGGACTTGAACTCACGATCTCTTGCTTTCTGCCTTGGTGCCCTAAGCGCTAGACCCAAGTGGGGTGATTCTAGTGGGGTGACTGTGTTTTCTAAAAGACCCTGATTTGGGGGAGGGGTGTGGGGCTTTTTGGCAGGGCAGAAGGAATCCCCTGAGAAAGGTCCAGCTAAGACCGTTACCTTCATCTCCTGGCTCTGGTTGTAATACTCCTCTCGTTCCTGCTGGAGCTGCCGGATCTGGCTGTGGAGCTGAGCCACCATGCCGTCATATTCTTCCTGGAACCGGCGGTGTTTGGCCTGCTCCTTCTGAAGGCTGAGCTTCAGGGCCTGGATGTCCTTCTCCTGGAGGCGCAGCTGGTCTTTCTGTCCAGAGGGGAGAGGTCAGGAGTCAAAGGTCGCGCCCTGCCCACCTCGGGCCACCCTTGTGCTTATTGGCAGGGAAACAATTTATTGGGCTATTTGGAGCAGGACTCCCGAAGACTCTGGCTTGTCTCATCTATCAAAGGTATCTGTTGCCCACCTCAAGATAGGATGGATGGGTGGATATTTTCTTGAAATAGACAGGCATAGAGATAGATAGATGATAGTAGATAGAGAGGGGGAGAGAGAGAGGCAGGCAGGCAGATGAAAGGGGCAAACAGACAGGATGAATGAATAAAAGAGATGGGTGGATGTTGAAATGGATGGATAATTGAATAGATGATAAAGAGAAAGAGAGAGAGAGATGATATGGATAAAGAGCATGACGGACGGATGGATAAACAGATGGAGATAGTGGTAGAAGGGATGGATGGATGTAGATGGGGACAGAAGGGATGGATAGATGAAAGACATGGAGATGGATGGACGGAAGAAATGGGCAGATGGATAAGAGACATGGATGGATGGAGAGGTTAGATCTAAATCTTTTCCCCGCCAGGAATCACGCAGGGCAACGGCTCCACCCCAGGGGAAGCGCCACAAAAGGCCCAGAGGCTGCCCCTCTGCTGGGCAGGAGGAGATGCCCAGCTGGCTCACCATGGCCGCGTTGTGTTCCTCGAGGGCGGCCGCTTTGATCACTTTCCGCAGGAGGCGCCTGTTCCGGACCGCGTGCTGCTGCCTCTTGAAGCGCTCGTAGAGCAGCTGGTTATGCAGCAGCTGCAGCTGATTCTGGAGGGTGTGAATCTCCTCGGAAGGAGGGGAACCTGCAGGGAGAAGCACGAGGAAAAGATGGCGCTGAAAACACAGGAGTCCCCAAGGCAGTGTGTGTGTGTGTGTGTGTGTGTGTGTGTGTACGCGCTGGACACTTGTGCTTCCCCCGCCCCCTGGATGTGTATTCTCCAATGGGACACATCCATCGCCAAGAGTCATCAATCATGCTCTCCAGTAGTAATCTTGTGCGCCAGAAGCTTCGGTCACCTAGAAATTATCTATGACATATTTAAGGAATGCACTGCTTCCCCCCCCCACTCCCTTTCTGGTGGAAACTCTAAAAGACTTTAAATATTTTTGAGTTGACACCAGGGTTTCTCCACCTTGGCCGCTTTAAGCTGGGTGGGCTTCCAGTCCCAGAATAACCCCAGCATGTTTGTAACCTGACCTGCAGGTAGGGCTCAAATTAGGAATTAAGAAATTGTGGGTTAACCCAGAAGGAGGCACAGCAACCTGAAGGCCAAGATCATCCATTTCTGAGATCCTAAGTTGAAAAATTTCGCTCACCTCCAAAATGAGTCCAATCGGCGGATCTGCTGGGCAACGATAACCTGGAAATGAGAATATATATCTATATATATTTTAAGAGAGCTTTGTCCTGTTTTATGACCTTTTTGGCTAACTCTGGATAGTCACTAAATGAACGGTGGGTAAGTTGAGAGCTACCTGTACAGGTAAGCCCTGGACTTACAACAGTTCAATTTAGTGACCATTCAAAGTTGCCGTGGCACTGAAAAATTTGACTTATGACCATTTTTCAGAGTCACGACCTTGGTGGCAGCCTCCCTGGGATCCCGTGAACAAATCCAGACCCTTGGCAATCGGTTCCTCTTTACGACCGTTGCTGTGTCCCACAATCACGCAATTCGCTTCTGCGACCTCCCGACAAGCCAACAGGGGAAGTCAGATTCACTTAACCGAGTTACTAACTTAACGACCGCGGCTGTTCGCTTAACAAGCGTGGCCACAAAGGCGGTGAAATGGGGGGTGGAGCTCGCTTAACAGCAAGGGGTTTGTTGCGGCTGGATTTCCCAGAAACTGGATTGAAAAGGCTGGTATGCGGGGGGGGGGGGGGGGGGTAGTGAGGGGGGGGGGGGGGGGGGGGGGGGGGGTCCCAGAGAGGGGGGGGAAGGGGGGGGGGGGGGGGGGGGGGGGGGGTTATAAATTGTGGTCACGGGATTGCAAATGGCCGTCAACGCAGGTCAGTTGCGAAGCCGGCTTCTTGTCCGGAGCGACTCCAGCAAAGCCACAAGCCACTTACTTGTTGAGTTCCCTGCTGTGAACATCCGCCCCGTGTTGAAGCAGCCGGTCTAAGACATGCAAAGGGGAAGCAGAAAGGAAGCCGCCGTCGTCCACTCCCCCCTTGCATTTTTTCAGCAGCTCTTCTGTCTTCCGGCTGACAAACAGGTAGGCCGTTTTAGGTAACGCCACCTCAAACAGGTGCTCGTATCCAGGGAGCTGCTGGCTCCCAAAGCCAGGCCTCTGGCGAGCGGGGATTTTGCAAGGGCTGGGGGTCCAGAGGCCTGGATCCGGGGAGGCCCACAGTTCCTGGACTCCCGCGGGAATCTCTTCCGCATCCCGGCAGGGCCGCTCGATGGGCGTGAAGGCTTGCTTCGGAGTATCCCGCGGGCCTTCGAGCCCGGAAAGGTCCGGGAAAGAGGCCGAAGGCTCGGCATTCGAAAACGGCCCCGCGGCGGTTGAAGCGACCGACTGAGATTTGCGAGAGCCAGAGAGATTCTCGCTGGATTGGTAGAACGGAGAATCAAATCCGCCCCTCGGCACTATGGGCTCGGCCTCCGTGGCGGTGATCTCGGAGATTTCGTTTGAGATGGCTTCTGGAGAAAAGGAGGAACAATTGTCACGCCCGTCAGAGTCTGAATCCGAAACGGCTGACATGGAAGCGGGAGAAGTGGCCCCGTTGGCTGTGGAAGAAACTGGGGAAGGGCAGAGCAAGGGAGAGGTAGAACAAGGGAGGGGGGATTCAAAGAAAGACCAAGGCCCACCCCCTCTTCATCCTAGGGCACACAGGAAGGAACGGAGAAGAGAGCAACATGGGTTGCATGCCTTACGAGGGAAGAAAGGGCCCTGATTCCCTTCACAAGGCACACCTGGGAAGGGAGTTTTAAGGAGAACCAATTGGGAGGGGCATTAGTTGGGAACAAATGCTGAGTTTATCTAGTGTTGGCTGCTGTTATCTGAGTTCCTGGCGGATTTATTACATTATCTTGCTTTGTTGGGTTTATAGTTTTAAGGTTTTCTGTTTACACCATTTTGGATTGGAGTATCTGCAGCCAAAGGCTGTTGCAGGTTCCTGGGAGAGTTTTTCTCCAGACCAGAAGGTAACCGGAACACTGGGGGCAAAGTTGGAGCTAATAAAAGGACCTCTGCTTATTATATGGCTATGTTGCCTTTGTGCCACGCCCCTTTGGGTCATCACAATAATATTGTGTTTATTGAGGCCTGATCCTGTCTCCTTCGGAAGGACAGAAAGTGCAGCTGACGTTCCAAGCAACCACATCTATTCACCTTCTTCTCGGTCTTTCTCTCCGCTGTCTTCGCATGAGGCCTCCAGATTATCTAGGATGTTGGGCAGGTCGCTTAAAGTTACAGAATTTTTACTGCCTTGGGAGTCTGGATAGACAAGGTCAAAAAAAAAAAAAAAAGGAGAAAACTTAAAAGGAAATTCAACATTACTTTACTAATACAACTATGTTCAGTCAGCCCTTTTCCCCATGCCAAAAGTTTGCTCCAGACTTGCTCCAACTGCTATCAAAAGTAGGTAAACTCAACTACAGGCAGTCCTCGACTTATGGCCATAATGGAACCTTGCGGTCATAAGTTGAGGACTATCTGTATGAGAGACCCTGAAAAGAAAGCTCAGAGTTCTCAAGGAACCCAACACTGAAAGCCAAGATGAGACTACAGATAAGTGCTCGACTTACGACCGCAATTGAGACCAACACTTCCGCTGCTAAGTGAGACATTGGTTAAGTGAGTTTGCCCCCCCCTCCATTTTTATGACCTTAAGTGAATCACTGAAATTGTTAAGCTAGGAACACGGTTGTTAAGTGAACCTCTCACTTGCCAGGTCGCAAAAGGGGATCGCGTGACCCTGCGATGCTGCAACCGTCATAAATACGAATCAGCTGCCAAGCGTCTGAATTTGGTTCACGTGACCACAGGGATGCTGCGACGGTCGTAAGTGTGAAAAACAGCCTAAGTCACTGTTTTCTGTGCCGTTGTAACTTCAAATGGTCACTAAACGAATTGTTCTAAGTCAAGGACCCCCTGTGGATAATATTTCACCTGGGCTTGTTAGGAAGGGAATGAATCCAGAGTTCATCGGAGGTTTTCAAACCGCTCCACTCGAGAGGAGAGGCTCAAAGGAACAGTCCGGGTCTGAAGATGTTTACTGTGCAAATTTGGTCAATAATAATGAAAACATATGAAGAAAAAAAGGGGGGGGAATTATTTAGCACGAAAACTCACCTAAAGTTCTGATATTTTGCTGTCGGGACAGAAAAGGCCTCGTGGGATCTGCTTTTTCCTCCTGGAGGGGGGGAAATTAGGGTTTAATTCAAATTTTAACTGCAGAGACAGGCACTTTTAACTGCACCCTCCTTTCCAAGAGATGGAATTCAACTCCCAGAACCCCCCCACCCCCAGCCTGCCTAGCTACCGCAGAGGATTCTGGGATTGAAATCTGCCCACTTGGAGGACGGGTCCTGGAAGGGAAAAGCTGATTTGGGCTCTTAACTGAAAGTGGAAATCAAGTCAGGTGGGAAGAATTATTGCGCTTAAATTTTCCTCTACAGGTAGGTCCTCGACTTATAGGACCACAACCGAGGCCGAAGTTTCCGGTGGCTGAGTGAAACCGTTGTTGGGTTTTACAATCTTTCTTGCCACCGTTGTTTACGCGAATCACTGCAGTTGTCAAATAACACGCGTTGTTTTATTAGTGAATCTGGCTTCCCCACGGACTTGGCTTGGCAGACGGTTGCAAAAGGGGATCCCGTCATAAACGCTGGTTCCGCTGCCAAGCCCCTGGACTCTGATCACATGACCAAGCAGCTGTTGCAACGGTCATAAGTGTGAAAAACAAGTCACTTGGAAATCGAAAGCGCATTCCATACATAGTTTTTCAAAGATAGTAACTAGGTGACTGAAGTTTCTGCCACACAATTCTAACTGGAGAACATGATCGATGACTCTGGGCTATGGAAGTGTCCCATTGGAGAATATGAATTACGACACACCCAGGCGATGCAGGGGGGGAAACCAGGGTCAAGGGTGACAATGACGTGCCTCAAGAGTCGGCCACACCCAGGCAGTGCCGGACATGTTAACTCCCAATAAATCCTTTGGAAGTTTTGGGAGTTTGGCTCGAGAGTCACGGTTTCATTGGGGGTGACTGCTGGAATCCTGACAGCGAGCCAACTCTCACAATTCACACCTGGCGCTGGGACACCCTGCTCGTAACGGTAGCTTTTACCTTCTTTGAAGGTGCAGCAGCGGTTGCAGGAACTGAACTCGGAACCGAATCGTCTGAAATGGCAGAAGAGAAGAGAAGATCGATGGCTGCCCCTGTTGGGACATTTCCTTTCTCCAACATCTCAACAGGGGATTTCCAACCAAGTTTAGCGAACTTTAGCAAAAGAAGAACCAAACGCAGGCAAGCCCTTTGGCTTCCCAGCTCTTATGATTACTATTTTTCTTAAAGAAAAGAAGAATAAAATTCGCCCAAGGAGTCAGGCGGTCAGCAAAGCACATTCTAAGAAAAACCATTTCTTTTGCAAAGGAGACCTTTGACTTGGCATCTCCTCCCCTGGAATGAGAGAAAGTGGGGAGAAGCCTCTACATGCCCCCTGGGGAAGTCCGCAGGGCCCCTTCTGTAAACGCACCCATCACACCCCACGTTGCCGCCTTCTGAATGGCATCCATCCTTCCTTAAAATGGCCCTTACGACCCAAAAATTGAGCCCAATGTTTTTCTGTTGCTAAGCGAGGACATCTATTCAGCGAGCTTTGAAAAACGAGGTCGTAGGTCGCTTTTCTCAGTGCCATGGCAACTTGGAACGGTCACTAAACGAACTGCTGTAAGTTGGGGGCACTACCTGTACTCAGCTTCAGCTTCTTAAGCCCCTTTTCCCTCCCAGAATAAATGTCCAAGTGTACCAGAGGGGTAACCTTGTGGCTCTCCCCAATCCAAGATTTCATGCCTGGGGCGAGGCGAAGGAATTGGGGAAAAGGGCCATACACGTCGTACCGGCTGCGCTGAAGAACTTGCTGCAAGGCTGGGAGGAAGTTTGCAAAGACTCCAGAACGAGGCCAGGAGAAGTTGGAGGGGTGGTCATGCCACAAACAGCAGAGGGGCTCCAGAAAGACGCCTGAGAAACAAACCAGAGGGTTTCTGGTTACTCCAAAGGAGGAGGAGGAGGAAGAGGAAAAAAATGGCTTCTTGTAGCACTCTTGAGCTTCCCCCCACATGCTCCCTTGTCCGAGGTTAACCATGGGTGGAAACCTCCACCCACGTTATTAATCCACCTACAACTTCTGTAATCCTGGAGAACCACCTGGGTTATTAGGATGGTTGTGATGATATGTCATCCATTCAGTCGTGTCCCACTCTTGACCGATTCTGCTAAGTCTATTAATTTACATGGGATGATATGGAAATTCAACACTGGGCATCCATGCGGGTTTGGAATAGAATAGAATAGCAGAGTTGGGAGGGAATCTTGGAGGTCTTCTAGTCCAGCCCCCGGCCTAGCCAGGAAACCCTACACCGCTTTAGACAAGTGCTCGATCCAATCTTTTATTAAAAACCTCCCGTGTTGGAGCATTCACAACTTCCGAAGGCAAGTGGTTCCACTGATTAATTGCTGTCACTGTCGGGAAATTAGCTCTGGGTTGCTTCTCTCTTAGATTGGTTTCCACCTGTTGCTCCTTGTTCTGCCCTCAGGTGCTTTGGAGAATAGCTCGACTCCCTCTTCTATTTAACAGGGTGATTTAACAGAATAACGGAGTTGGAAAGGGACTTTGGAGGTCTTCTAGTCCAACCCCCCCCCCCCACCTTGCTAAAGCAGGAGATCCTAGACTGCTTCGGACCAATGGCTGGCCGGTCTCGTCTTGAAACTTCCACGGCAAAGAAGGCAGATTAAAATAGTCCAAAGAGCCCACTTGGTAAAAAAAAAACAACCCCAGGAAGGCCCCCCCCCACAAAGGCACGATTTCAACTTTGTCCCCTGAGACTTCAAATCTCGCCCTCTTACCTGCGGAGGCTCAGTGGACAAACTTGAGGGCTGGGGGGTCAGGATGTGAGGTAGATGCCCTGGTATCTGGGAGAGGACCAGCCGAGAAGCCGAGTAAGGGGTAGACGTTGAGGGTCCTGCAGCTGGAAGGACAGAAAAGGAAAACCAGGCGGTTGAGCTTAAGCCCGTTTCCCCCATTGCAGCAGTTCTAAGTGCAAGTTATTTTGTTCAGCACCGAGAGAGAGTGAGGAGTTGGCCTAATGCGAGAAATATTCCACAGAAGAGAACCGTCGTAGCTCAGGGTTGAACTGTGGGGTCCTTGGTGCTCTCCGAGCTGGGTGGTTTCCTTGCAGACGTCTCATGACCTAACTAGGGAACGTCATCAGTGTTGGGTGAGCGTGGGGTTTGCTCGCTTTTTATGTACAGGTCAGCGGGGATTTGCACCAGAGAAACCATCAAGCAGAAGCCAACACTCCAATCAAGGAACTACCAAGAAGATAATCACACACACACACACCTTCCTCACCTAACGGGAAGCAAACCTCACCCTCGCTAGCACTGACGGTGTTATCCAGCTGGGTTAATGAGACGTCGGCAAGAAAACAACCCAGCTCAGAGAGCACCAAGGACCCCAAATTCTCCACTCTCCCCCTCCACTCTCTGACCCCGCTCCCTTCCAGCACTGATGAGGTTACCTAGTTGAGTCATGAAACGCCTGCAATAAAACCACCAAGCTCAGATAGCGCCAAGGACACCACGGTCATTGTCCTTCTCCTCTTCCTCCTCTTCTTCCACCTCCTCTTCTCCCCCTTTCTCCTTCTCCACCACTCCACAAACCCCACTCCCTTCTAGCACCGACGATGTTATGCAGTTTATGGGTTAATAAAACATCTGCAGGAAAACCACCAAGCTCCAACAGCACCCAGGACCCCACCGTCCTTCTCTACGGCAAACCTTTCGCCGTTAATACCTTGGGGAGGGTTAAGGCATCTTACCCAGACTATTGGGGGGAGCCAGGTAAGGCGTGGCGTCGGGGTCGGCGGGGCGAAGCGACTGGTGCGTGCAGGCTTGCAGGGCAGTTGCGCAGTAGCCGTCTTCGTAGGACGCTTCCGCTGGATCCAGGGAGATCTTGGCACATTCAATCACGACGTCGTGCGTTTCTAGCCTCTTCCACCTATTGGAGGCACAAGCACCTGTCCGTTCTCACCTGCTCTGAGGACCCCCCACTTCGGAACGCTTTCCTGCCGCCCGAACGATGAGGGCGTCCGTTATCAGAGAGGGGGGCGTACGTACCTCCGGGGATCCAGCTCGTGGTCCTTGGAACCGGTCACCAACTCCGGGTGGATTCGGACGTGGCCCATCATTGGCTGGAAAGGACAGCAAAGGGGGGGAGGGGTGTCTCATAACGGGGGACAAAGGCAAGTGCGCACAGCTCAGCACTAGGAGGGAGGGAGAAGGCCGACATTTCGGTCTGATCACACAGGTCAGGACTGAACAATCCAACCCAAGCATAAGCTCCTTCCCAATGTTCGAGAAGGGATCTGGTTTCCAGAGACCTGACCCAGAGCAGGACAATCACAGGACAAACTCAGCTCCAAAACTGGCCCATTTCACTCTAGAGTGGTACTGACACTGACTCCGAAAGGGAATCCTTCCCTGTTCCACTTGGAGAGCTTTAGATCTTCGGCAGGAAACATCCCAAGTTTTTCCTTAAAGTTAATTTGATCCAATGGACCTCCGCTCTCTTCCCTCCTAGCCAGGGGTGGGCTGCTGGGTGGGGGTTCAGGAGAGCCCCTAGCTAAGACTCTGCGGGGCTCAGAGAGCCCCCAATAACCTCAGAAAGACAAGCAGCCAGGGAAGGCTCTTAATAGGCTTAATTGAACTTCTGGGCGCTCAGCCAAGAGCATTTCACACCTGGTAAAAGTCTTGCAAGCTAGATAAACAATCCACTTAGTGCTTGCAGGGAGAGCCATTGAGAAAATCAGATCACGTAGTCACTAACCTCCAAGGGGATTAATTCCCAAATAATAAGAATCACGTAACTCACCAGAAACTCCACTAAGACTCCAAGATCCCTCTCACAGTCACCACTATTAAGCCTGGTTTCACCCAGTCTTTTAATTAAGTCTTAAATGCACGAAATAATAAACAACTTTTGGGTATATCGTCTTTTTTTAGGTAATTAGGGCAAAGAAGCAACGTTGAGTTGGCCACACAGTCAAATGACCACATAGCCACGCCCAGCCAGCCAGTCATTAGGGGAGAGAGCCCCTTGTTAAAAAAATTGAAGCCCACCCCTGCTCCTAGCTGTCTTTTAAGAAAGTCCTCCTCCTAAGCTAGCTAGGAGGCCTCAACCCGGGAGACCATTTGGTTACCTTGACCACCTCTTCAAAGGTCTCCAGGTTTTCCTTCATACTGTAATGGGAGCGCAGAAAGGAGACAAAATTGCACGGGTACATTCCATAAAGGCGATGAAAGAGGGCGTACACGCTAGCGTGGAGGTGGACCAGGTAGATCTCTGCCACGTGGCCTGGGGAGAAAGCCAACATCAGATGAGTCTGTTATCTGCACCTCTGTTAACTGTCTGGTTTGGCTCTGCAACCCAACAAGACGCAGACTTCAGAGGATAATTAGGACTGCAGAGAAAACAATTCCTACCAACCTGCCTTCCATCGAGGACCTGTATGCTGCATGAGTCAACAAGAGGGCTGTGAAAATATCCACAGACCCCTCACATCCTGGACATAAACTGGGGGGCTTGTGCTTGTTGAGGGTCACCTGTACCTGTACATGCCGCACCCATGACAATACCCCAAGGAAGCACTTAATAATATTCAGTCGGAGATGGATGGGTGATGGGCCATCATTCTACCTAAAACCAGAGATTATTTCCCCCTAACTGGGACCAACGGAACCAGAGCCACCTGGAACATCTCACCTGGGTTCTTCAGGTACCAAGATGAAAGGCGGCCGAAGATGCCAAAAAAGTCGTGAAGGTACTGCTTCCCAGACTGAGGGATCATGGGTAGCAACGTGATTAACACCAGCACCCCCGTAGTGAGGACTACGACGTCGGTGTCAGTCTGTCATAAAAGGGAAAGCAAGATTTTTTTGGAGAGCTCCACTGTCACTAGAGAAAACGACAGTCTACTGACTGATAATGTCGGGCTGGAGCAGCTGAAATTTCCCATTTCAAACATCCTTCCACAGCCAATTTTTGGGAAGCCTACAAAACCGCTTCAAGGTCTAGATGGCCATGGAGATTCTCAGTCATCTATCAAGTCAGGAAATGTCTCCCTCGTTCCAGGCTGGCTCTTTTCTGGAGGAGGTCTATGGAGATTCTCTGTCCTCCAGGCCACACTTGTCCCAAAGGTGCTTTTTATTCGAGAGGCAACTGGACTTTCTTGGGTTTTTCTTTGAAGACGCTTCGCTTCTCATCCAAGAAGTTTCTTCAGCTCTCAGAGAAGCGAAATTGGACGAGAAGGGAAACGCCTTCAAAGAAAAACCAAGGAACTCCAGTTGGCTCTTGGAAAAGCAACCTTTGGTTCAAGGTCTGGAATTAATAGGCAGCTGATACATCTAGGATGACCAAGGAAGGATGAGTTTGGAATAAGCTGCTTTAAAAACATAATGGCACACATTTGCGATTTAATAGATGTAATAGATTTAATAGAACTGCTGACAGTGGGCAGAATTAGCCCGCAGTGCTGCATTCTAACCAGCCCGCCAGCAGGACTGTCTAGAAAAGCTACCTATGCGTCCACTAAGAGTCAACACTGACTTGGTAATGAATACATCGAGGCCCCTAGTTCCAACAATGCACCCAGGCGATTCCTTTGGCAGTGCTTCCCTCTGTTATCCCACCCCCTGTCCCTATCAGCCACCAAACGTGGTCAAGGAGCTTCATAACAGCATCAAGCCCTTACCTTGAGACACTTGAGGAGGGAAAGGAGAACGGGGGCCTGAGGCAGCTTATGTTTCCAGGAGGGCTGACTTCTAATCACATGGCCAAGGAGCGAAAGAGTGGCGAGACGGGTAGAGGGCTTGCTCATGTATTCGTTGATTTTATCGAGAAGGTGCTGGGGGCAGATTTAAAAAACAAAAGGGGAATGAATTAAAAGCATTGACCACAGGCAAAAAACAGGGAGCGCTAGAAGAGGCGGCCATCCTGAAGGAGGAAACGATTTGGGGCTGTTGAGGATGTGAGCTGAACCCAACATGGCTTATTCCTTGCATTAGCACTCCCATCGCCTGGATGTCCATCGTTCTTCTCGCTTTACCTTGTCATGTGGCTCTTGGACAGCAGTCAGGATGTGCAAAGCTTGTTGGGAGCTGGTTTCCAAGTAGTAATCCACCAAAGAATTCACCAGCATGGGCCCACGATCTGTGGCAATCCAGACAGAACGACAACAAAAACACAAATCAACTTGCACAAAATGACTCAGTTCGTTCAGCAGCCGCGTAGACATCTTGCAATACTTTTATTAAAAAAAAAAATAAGGCAGAGAACATATCCAACACAACTTCCTCCGCTTACTTTCCCAACAACCACCCTGTGAGGTGGGTTGGGCTGAAAGAAGAGTGATTGGCCCAAAGCCACCAAGTTGGCTTTCATGCCTGAGGCGGGACTAGAACTCCCATTTTCTGCTTGTGATTTAAGCCACCTGGAACAAAAGGCAAGGGAGCTCCAGCATCACAACCCACCTGAAGCCAGGTTGTCTCTAAACACAGCCATTATATCTTCCAGGACAGCCAGGACTGGAGAATCTAGCATGGGGAGAAGATCGCCAATATTTGTTTGCTGAGACATCCTGCTTCAGGCTAGGCGCTAACGGGCATGACACGTGTGTCCACGCAAGGCACGGTTGCTTCCAGTTCTACATGGGTGCTCCTGTCAAACTAGGCGAAGAGAAAACATAGATTTTGGAAAAGGGCCCCTTCTGGCTCTCCAACCACCCACGGATCCCGAATTCCAGGCAACCCATCCAAGACAGGGAGCGCTTGGCTTACGGTCAGAATTGAGCCCAAAATGTTCCTGTTGTGTTTTGCCCCATTTTACGATTTTTCTTGCCGTGGTTTTTTAAATGGATCACTGCCGTTGTTAATGGTTGTTAAGTGAATCTGGCTCCCCCCCCCCCCAAATGACTTCGTCAGGTGGTCACAAAAGGGGAAATTACACAACCCCGGGACACTGCAACGGTCATAAATGTGAGCGTCCGAATGTTGATCAGGTGACCATGGGGGTGCTACAACGGTCGTGTGAAAAACGTTGGTAAGCCAACAAGGATGACCCTGTAAAGTCCACACCCTTGTTTCATCTACAAATCTGGACAGAAAAATCTCAGTCGATGCATAAAGTTAGAAATGTACCTGCTAGTAGCTGCTTCCTTTCCACCACTATACAATCTGGTTTTTTCATGATCACAGAACTGGAAAAAGGAAAAGGAAAAAAAAAACCAGTGAGAATGTATCTCTCCGAAGAGGAAAGGCAAAAGAAACCTGTAGTCATTGTTAAATGGGCATCTTTTGATTTTAGAATATATCGTTCGGAAGTCATTAGCAATATCCAGGACTTTGCTGGGACAATTCACCAATGTTTTTCCCAGGAGAAAACACATAAAACGTGAGGTGCTACTACTACAGAAACACACAACAAGCCTCTTGTGACCTAGAAATTGTGCCTGTATAATGTTTGTATAACAGAGACCAAGTACAGGTAGTCCTTGACTTACAACAGTTCAATTAGTGACTGTTCAAAGTGAGAATGGCGCTGAAAAAGAAGTGACTTATGACTGCTTCCCCCACTTATGACTGTTGCAGCATCTCCATGGTCACATGGACAAAAGTTGGCTCGTATTTACGACAGCTGCAGAGTCCCAGGATCCCATTTTGAGACCTTCCGACAAGATTCACTTAACAACCTTCTTACTAGCTTAACAACTGCAGGGATCCACTTAACAACTGTGGTAAGGAAGGTCATAAACGGGCAAATTTTTTTAAAAAAACTATCTTGCTTAGCAGTGAAAATTTGGGGGCTCAATCGTGGTCATAAGTCAAGGATTATCTATAATCGGAAAGGCTCAGTTAAAAAGCTCAGGTTAACAGATCACTTTCTTTATAACAAATTTTGTCACGGTCCAGTCTTATCCCAATCAGCCAATCTATAACCAAATAGACAACTGAAAAAGAGTCATGATCTGAAAAAAATAAAATCTAGCTACCTATCGACCTGTAATATTTTAAATTACAGCAAAGACCAGGCAAAGAATATGGGAAGATCAAATTTAAACCACATTCATATGTTTGTACTTCTTCCGTAGAACAAGATATTGCAAAAACCTTCCTGTCACCAACGCGGCACCCAATGTGCCAATAGGCCTATTATAACCATCTTCCTTGGCATGCTCTAGATTTTCTGCCCCACCTGATTCTTTGCCTTTAACGAGCCAGAAGCTGGCACTGCCCTCAAGCAGAGTTTCCAACATGGCAATTTCAAACTTCAACTCCCAGAATCCTCACTCAACAGCCAGGCTGGTTGTGGAACTAGCAGACTTGGGGGCGGGGGGGAGTCTCTGCTCCAAAAAAAACCAAAAGGTATTTCTGTACCTGGGCAACTTGAAGACACGGGGCCCAACTCCCACATCCGCTAAGGAATCCTGGGAGTTGAAGTCCACACCAAGTTGGCAAGGATTAGAAACCCGGTTTTAAAGGGACGGGCTGGTTTCCATTGTTGTCTTTTTAATGTCGGACTTCAAAAGTTTTCTCAAGACAAAACGAGAGGCAGCAACAATTCAGAACTTTGAAAGGACGGGGGGGGGGGGGAGTCAAAATCCACAGAAACGAGCATTTAAAGGAAAAGAGATAACCACGTAGCGCTATCATAAACTGCTATTCTTTGATTGGTATGGGGAAGATGAAGAAAAGTCAGAGGAAAAACCCAGATTGGGAAATTAAAAAGAGTGATTCCACAGGGTTCTCCAGAGTTACCCAAACTGCAGAAAAACCAAGGAAACGCTTTTCTCTTCGTCCCTATGATCAGGTGATCAAAATTCAGAGGCTTGGCAACTGGTTCATAGCTACAACAGTTGCTGCGTCCCAAGGTTCTGTTATCTCCTTTTGCGACCTTCTCACAAGCCAAGTCAATGGGGAAGCCAGATTCACTTAACAACCAGGTTACTGACTTATCGGCTGCAGTGATTCACCTTAGCAACTAAAGAGAGGTCGTAAAATGAGGCAAAGCTCACTCAACACATGTCTCACTTCACAACAGAAATTTTGGGCTCAATTGTGGTCGTAGGTTGAGGACTACCTGTCTGTCACAAATGCTTGCTGACAGCTAAGTAATTCCAAGTTGTATGCCCTGTAGAGATGCAAAGCTCTTAAATCTCTCCTCCTGCAGCATTTCAGAGAGAAACTTGGAAGTCATAATCATTTATTTATTTTGAATGAACATGGGAAAGGGGTTCCTAGACTGCTTCCTTCCCTCTGTGCAGTCTTCAGCTTTCAGAAGTCAGCAAAAGTTCTGAAATTGCTTGGTTGGGGAAACGGTGGTGGCTTCTAAAAAAGAATAACACAGCTTCCCAACAGACTGGCAAGTCAGGAGAGAAAAGTGTTTTGAACTCCAAATAAAAACTTCCTTTGGCCGATTACACAATCTGACAGTATCTGGCTCCCAGGTCTGTTTGTTTTTTCTGCTCCCAATTTGCAAACACAGTTTAGATGCAGTCACTTGCTACTCTGTTGCTAATACAAGGTGCATCTGTAAAGATAGCTTTAAAAAAAACAAAAAAACAGCAAGTATCCTTCTTTGTAAATTGTATACAAAACAGGAAAATATGGTTCAACAAACCACATAAGGGCCCAGCAGCTGAACTCACATACACACAAAGACTGGAAGAGGACACCAATTGTAGTTAACATTAATCTTGGTTAGGAGAGAGAGAGAGAGAGAGCAGGAGAGAGAGAGAGAGATAACAGGGCCAATTCCTGCCAACTTGATCACAGGGCAGACATCTAAAAACAGGTCAAGGCTTTTAAAATTAATAATATTACTGTCCATCACTTAAAATGAGATTTTTCCAGGGCTGACCGGTGGTAGGATTGGGTTGGTTCAGACATAATGTAAGACGAATGAATAACATAAATGGAAATGTATTCAAGAAAGAGATTGGACCGCCATCTGTCAGAAATGGTGTCGGGTCTCCCGCTTGGGCAGGGGGTTGGACTAGATGACCTACAGGGTCCCTTCCAACTCTAATTATCTGTTATCTGTTAAATTATTCCATTTCAAAACAACAATTTTGACTGAATTAGGACCAAAAAAAAAAGTTGGTACTCTTGAGGGGGGCTTAAGAATTTAGAGAGCTTTGTAAGCTTAAGGCCTCAGCTTAGAGCAGGGGTGGCAAACGCAAGGTCCAGGGGCTGGAGGCAGCCGGTGAGGTGCTTAGACCTGGCCTGCAGGGCTGAAGGACCAGCCCAAGGTGCCTCTGCCAGGGAAAACGGAGCTTGGGAGGGCCACCCGTGGCCCTTGCGAGCTCCATTTTCGCTGTCAGAGGGTTGCAGGAAGCCGTTGGAACCGAAAATGGAGCTTGGGAGCCCATTTGCACTGGCTGAGCACCCCCCGACACACACACACACGAGGTCAAACACAACCCCAATGCGGCCCTCAAACAAATCGAGTTTGACACCCCTAGTCTAGAGGTTTTCCTTCTCACATCCAAATCAGACGTGCATACAAAGTGTAGATTAACTAGACCATTTCACCTAGAAGCAGTGGCATGCTCTAAAGAAAGAATTCAAATGAAAACTAAAATGGTCTTTTAAAAAAGAAAAGAAAGCCTCCATGAAGCTACCTCTCCTGGATCAACCAACCTGATCGTTTTTCGAAAGAAAAAGGATGTGGTGTGTGTTTTTTTCCCCTTATAAAGAAAGAAAAAAAGCTCCTATATTAATCAACTGAAGTTCTATTCAGGCAAACCAAAGTTCCTTTTAAATAAATACCAGAGAAAACAGCACCGGGGCAGGGAGAAATCAAAAGTTGGAAAGGATCAATTAGGCCACCAAATTAAAGCAATCCTGGTGGATTATCCATCCATAGCTGGAAAAAAGAAATGTGGAAAAGCCCCATTCTTGGACTTTTGGTGGCTTAAATGTGGCTATTAATGCCTTAAATCGAGAAAACATTTGAATAACCAGTCCTCCAGAGGGGAGGGGGGAATAGCATATAATCAAAGGGTGGAATTAATTTATTAAGCCTGGCTAGCCCAATCTTCTGTTTTAGGGTGAAAGAAGTCCTTCCTTCCTATTCACACACATCCCCCATGGCCAGTTACTGCAACAAAGATGAGTGAAACAACTAGTAGGGCCGTGTGTATTTAGCTATGGCTTTTTAATGACACACAGGTCTCTTTAGCTCACCTCCTGCATTCTGCAAAAAAAAAAAACATTACCCAAATCATTTTACCTACTTATTCTGCAATAGCTGCAGGACACCAGCATGTGACAAGCCTGAAGCTCAGATCTTCACAAAGACAAACCCACAAAGCTCCATTTTGAACGTATTGCATTAAAAAAAAACTTTATATGCAATAAAACCCAATAAACACCTTTTTTTCCCCTTCCTTCCTGCCCAACCTTGATTGCATACCTCTTCTCCCCGCTTCAAATTAAAAGAAAGGTGTCTTACAAATATCCTTTGGTACCCCCCTTCAAAGGGGAATTGTTCTGCCATTCATTGGGAGGGGGGGCTTTCCTTCCCCAGACTCCTCCTCCTTTGGACCTCAGCCCCAAACCTGACCTTTGGCCCCTCCCTATTTTCACCTAGCTCATCCCAAATCTACTTCTCAGGATTTGTCTCTTTCTCTCTTTTAAAATATAATCTGGTACCCCCCCTGCACTCAACTCATTCAGATGCCTAAAAATGCAGGCCTCAAGAGAAACCCCTCTCCTGACTCGGACTACACCCCCACCCTTGATTACTCATTTAGGATAAAGGGGTTCAATCCTTCCCCCCCAACCAGATTTAACAGATAGAGTTGGAAGGGACCTTGTAGGTCATCTAGTTCCACCCCGAGACCCTACACCATTTCTGACAAATGGCAGTCCAATCCAACCCCTTGGATTACATACATTATTCAGCACACAATCTGCACACCATTCTATTAATGCCACTACCGATCCCATATGTTTATCATTAACTCTGCACATAATTGTATTACTCTTAACTAGTGACCCTATATATTTATCACAATGTAGAGTATAAATGTGTGTGTATGTATATGTGTGTGTGTGCGTATGCCACTCAGCCCTTCTAAATATAATTCTATTAATGTAATGAGTGATCCTATATAATATATATCATAATGTATATACATAAATGAAGATATGTATCATATCTATATCTATCTATCTACCCACCCCTTTCATTAACTAAATCTAATTCTATTAAGGTAACAAGATCCTATATATTTATTATAATGTATATAAATGAATACATATCTATCCTACCTATCTATCCACACACACACACGTTTGTCTGTCTACCTATCATATCTATTTATCCATCCATCTATATCTGTATAGATATATTTACATCTAATTATATTATCTTACACCCTAGATAATATAATGAATATAAATGCATGCATGAATTATATCCTATCTATACATACATTTACATTACGTTATGTTATTAGATACATTATCTAGGGTCCCTCCTTGTTACCTTAATTGAATTATATGCAGAATTAAGTGAGGTGGTTGGGGGTGGGGGGGGGAGGACTGGCCCAGCCCAAAGAATCCATAAAATAGATATACATTCAAAAGGAAACCCACCCACCCCCCCAAAAAGACCCAGCGAGGCCTTTCCTGCAAGGGAGCCCCTTCCACCACGACCCTGGGGAGGAGAAGGCCCGGCCGAGCAGCGACCCCCCCCCCCCGCATCTCCCCTCAAAGCAGCGTCCCTGCTGAGGCGGGGGTCCCTCAGCCCCCCAGGGAGCAGCCCCCTCCACTCCCCCCCCGCAGCCGCCCTGCCCCACAGCTCCCCAGCCGAGCCGCCCGGGCCCTTCTCCTGGGCTTCTCCGCCGCGCGAGGGCCCTTCCCCGGCCGCGAGGACTCACCCCTTCCTCTTCCTTCTCCTCCGCCCCTCGGCTGTTTACCGCTCCAGCCTCTCCTCACCCACAGGGCGCCGCCATCTTGGCCCTGCCACCCTCCGGGAGACGCGCACAGATCCCTCCGTGGCCGCTCCGCCCCACTCGGGTAAAAAAATAGTCCCCCCCCCCCCCTCCAAGCCGCCGCCACCCTCACCCCTAGCCGCGACTCCCCGCCAAACAGGCACGCGGGGGGGGGGGAACGTCTCCTCACCCTTCCGCGTCCGCTTCTCCCGGCGCCCGAGGAAACGGCTTCGGCGCCCGCCCCCGCACTGAACAGACGCGGAAGGATCAGGCGGAGAAAGAGAAAAGAGCCTCTCGTGATGCCGAGGGAGGAGGAGGAGGCCGAGAAGAAGTAGTCCCGGCAGGGAGAAGGAGGCGGGGGGAAGGTCACGTGACGCGACGGAGAGTCTGGCGAGGGCGCTTGCGGGTTGGTAAACAAGGGGCGGGGCGAAAGGAATTCCGAGCCACGTCCCCCTGGTTGCTCGTGGCAACCGGGCTCCAGCCTGCTGGGATGATTTTCTTTTTTTTTTTAATTTTAAGCGTTCTTTGGGGAACTACTCCCACCTCCATCAGCCACAGCCCCTGGCCCTTGGGGAACAGTGCAAGGAAAAAGGACCCATGCAACCGTTCTCTTCCTTTGCACAAAGGACCGCTCCATGCCCCTTCTTTCCACGCCCCTCCCCATGCATTCTCCCTGGTGCTGAGTTCAAATCCAGAACCGCATCAGACTTCTCCCACTCGCACACGTTTGAAAATAAGCAGATCTAGGGTGCAAATCTCAGATGGCCACAAGAGGGCAGCAGTGCTTCGTTTGTCTCTCTTGGCTTCCCCCTAGAGGTCATTTGAATTGGAGCTGGGCTGGTTTGAATTCCCAGAATTCCCCAGACAGCAGGCACCTGTCTCAAAAGTTGGCCAGGATCCAGATATAATATGTATATCAGTGTGAAATGGAGAGTAGAGAATTAATATAATGAATAAGGCTGTAAACTCCTTAATTGTTATTGCACAAGGTATTTTTACCCAGATGACACACCGTTTTAATGAAAGATGGATTGTTTTGCATTCAAAATAAAATAAAATAATTAGTGGCCAAAAAAAAAAAAAAAGTTGGCCAGGATTGAGAAACAATGATTTAGGGGGTTTTACAAGCCTCACAGGATCATATAAAGCTGCCTTAACCACGTTCATGCAACCTGTAATGCCCTCTCTAAAGAAATTTACAGATAATCTTTCACTTACAATCGATTAATGACTGGTTGAAGTTACGAAACCAAACCTGGTTTATGACCCACGTTTGAAGTCACATCAGCTGCATGTTATGTGGTCAGGCTGATCACATTTTTGACCCCTTGTCAATCAGCTTACAGTTGTAAAGGCAGGGACTTTTTCAATATTAAATATTTTTTATTTTATTTTACAACAAATCCATCTTTCAGTTATACAGTGTCGACTGGGTACATATATCTTGTGCAAATATTTAGATTTAGCATACATTTCTTACTATGATTACATTCATATTAAAACTACTCAACCTTATGTATCTCATTATTATTATTATTATTACCTTTATTGTCAGAGTACAACATGTGTACAATGAGATTGGCTCACCTCTTCCTCTATCGAAGCAAATACAATTCTAACTGCTGTTAATATGTGTATGATTAAATATGTTTTTTCTTTACTATAATTTGTGGGTATGATTGTTTTCCTTTCTAAAAAAAAAAAGAAAGAAAGAAAAAGAAATTTTGCAGGAAAAAAAAAACACGAGTAATCTCGAAAAAACACTCCACCAAAACAAGCCAAGCACCGAATAATCTGCGGAAGGCGCGACCACTAACTTCTGGCTTTCTGCAATTGAGCAATGCAAAAATGTTCGAAGTCTGGCTTGCTTTGATAAGCAAATGCTCACTGGCCTTAGCCTCTCTTATTGGCTGGGGCCAGATTTTGACACGAATAATCTGATTGAAAAATCAGGGAGGGGAATGCAGGCCCCAGTGGGGAGAGGGAGAACAACCAAGGGTGAAGTACACCGAGGAAGGGATCAACCCTTGGTAGATAACAGGAGTGTGGAAAACCTAGACACACACACACCAGCGAAGGGAGCCCTCGACCATCACACTTCTCCCTGGAAGGCAACTTTCAAGGCTAAAGTTCTACAACCATCCTCCAAGCAGGTGATTTCCCTTCTCCAAAGCAGTTTTTTTAAAAATATTAAAATTTCCTGCATTTTCCTCTTCTTGCAAATGATGATCAGTTAGGAAACTAACCACGCAGGAATAATTTGTGCAATTAGGCAATGGGGTTTTTATTTTTTCTGGATAGTTTAATCTCTCTCTCTCTCTCTCTCTCGTCTTTCTCTCTTTCTCTCTCACATTGTCTCTTTCACATTCTCCCTCTCTCTGTACCTCATTCTTTCTCTCCCTCCAATTAAAAAAAAAGTTTTTAAGAAGGTCCACCAGCATATCCCTTGCAAGGAGATTGTGTTAAGGTAAAAGTCAGCCGCTGGAGAATTAGGAAGGTACATGTGTCCTAGGTAGGAATTCTTTGGATGCTTCCGTCAATTAATGTCCCTGATTTGGGTGGAGATGGGAAGCAAATTAATTTTCATTATTTTGTAAATTGCTTTGGGAAGAAGGAACAGAAGATGAGGGGAAATGCTTTGAACGAACAAATGAATTAAGGCATATTGTACCATTGATAGCTTGGCTAACATTGGCTGATCACTGGAAAGAAAGAATTGGACGAAGGTGTCTAAGCGTATGTAGCTATGAAAGCTGGCTTGTAAATTAATTTAGGATTTTTTAAAAAAGCCTTAAATCTGGTATCATAGGCCAGGAACTGCAAAAATTTGCAATTATTAAGAGATAGCTAAAGAGTCACGTTTTCATAGCATACCCGGATTTCTGCAGCTCAAAATCTGAGAGCTTTAAATTATTATTTCTGGTTTAAATTTTTCTGAGAGAGAGAGAGAGAGAGAGAGAGAGAGAGAGAGAGAGATCTTTTAGGGCTTTATTTATTATGATTTGCATCAATAGTTTATTTACACTTATAGTGTGTTTGTTTTTAAAAGCATGTCCAACTGCCAAGAGTTACTTTTGCTACGTCTAACAGTTGCACTGAGCCAGTTTTGCAGTTAATTTTGCTATATCCAACTGTTGCATTAATGCTAGAACCTAGGTTTAAGTTTAATTAATTTTATTATTGATTCTTGGTTTGCTTTAATGGTTTAGCATAAAATATGGAACTCTGTACCTGTTTGGTTCATTAATGGGTATGAATCCAAAGAAGCGAATTTAATAAGAAAATGTATATATCTACCCGTATTTCTCCTAAATATATATAACAGAAGGGTTCGTGAAAGATGTTTTTAAAGTGTGTTTGTGCAAGGTAGTTGAAATCTGATAAATGTTGCCACTTTGGGTGGGGTTAATTTTAGGTTTTTTTGCATCTTCTTATTACTGGTTTCTGCATTCTTTGCATGTCACACCGTCAACGTGGATGAAAAATTCTTGAAGTGTTCATTAGGAATAAATGGGATAGTGCAAAAATTAAAAAAAAAAATCTTAGGGCATTGTTACCGCAAGGAGCCCAAAATGCAGAAGTGAAAATCAAAACTATTGCAAAGACCAAGTTTGGTTAATAAAATATAACAAATGAATGAATGAAGAGTGAAGAAAGAGGGAGGGTTTTTAACAAGTATCTGCTTTAAGAGATTTTAATAATATTTGGACTAAGATTGAATGAGTGAAGGCCATGCGCTAAATAAATAAATATGAGTTAAAGATAAGAGCAATCAACATCCAGTGTTATGGAAACAAACCTCTTTACCAATTGAGTAAAAGTGAAATTTGAAAGAACCAGCAACCGATTGCTTATTTGCACCAAACTGCACTCATGTGTTGCAAACTATACAAATGTTGGGTTTATATGCAAGTATTTGGTAATATCTTGGTGTTGCGTGAAGGCAGTTTTGCAGAAACTCAAGCTATGGCTTTAACTGCACAGAATTTATACCCTTTGCAAAATTGTCTTCTGGAGTTCTTGAATGCAACATCTTGAATTTTCCTAAATTCCAGCTTCGGTTCCAGGAAAATCTCTTGCCTTCCTATCTTAGAAGAGTTAGGCTGTCTCCTTAAACCAAGAATGAGGTTGTTTGATTTAAGGCTACCATGTTATGCTAATGTTCCCCGCTGCTTGCTTAACTGTTTAATTAAATTAAACATGGTTTGAACTTGAGAGAAAACATTTCATTGCATGCACACAAAGCAGGGAGAATAACTAACCAAAATCTTTCATGTGTTTCAATTTAAAGAGAGATGTATTTAAACCAAATCGTTCTTACTCCTAAGTAAATCTAAATAAGAATGCAATTTCGTCAGCTGAAGTTTCATTGCCAAATTAGATAACATCATCAGTGCTAGAAGGGAGTGGGGTTTGTGGAGTGAAGGAAGAGGAGGATTGTGGGGTCTCTGGTGTTCTCTGAGCTTGGTGGTTTTCTTGCCGACAATTCATTACCAAATGCACTGATGATGTTACCTAGTTTGGTAATGAAACATCTGCAAGAATACCGCCAATCTCCCTCTTACATTTTCCTAGCTAACTTTCTCACTTCACTCGTTGGCAAAACTCAGCTGGCGTATTTCAAGATTGGCCAATAGGCAGCTTTGTTCCAAAATAAAAAGCACACAAGAACTGACTCTGAATTTTAAAGTTTGTTGGGGTTGAGGAAGGGGAGGAAAAGCAGAGATAAGCATATGGAGAAGGAGAGATAAAACATTTCTGTATCTTGAGGACATGAGGTTGGAGCTGGCATCCGACACTCTGAGTGGGACTTGGGTTCGTATTGTTGAGTATTGGAGGCTGGAATTGGAAAACTGCAAATAGAATATCCCACAAAATGACATGATGGGTGGATTGGAACTCCGAATCGTATCTTCTGCAGCAGCAAACATTTTTCCAGAATGTGTCTCTGCGTCATTTTTGCCCCTTTTTCAAATTTAGAAAGGGAGAAAATCAAAGGATTTGAAGCTTTGCTTCCTATTCTCCTTCAACAGGAGAAGACTTCTGTCTTTGCCTGTTCTCCCAGACTTGTAGTTTGCTGTAATCTGGTAAAAAGACAGGCCCAAATTCAACAGGAAAAGTTTTCTGTTTCCCAGGGCAAGCCACACCTGCTGAATGTTTGCCCGGTTGAGAAACCCTGCCAAACGACAACTTTAGTCTGTATTGCACAGACCAATTGAAGCAGCTCACCTCATCACACTACTGGGAGCTGAATCTCCCCCCAAGGCAATATTCAAATGCTCCAAATTTGAATACATTTCTCCAAATCTAAAAGAGACCTCTGACCTTATTGCAAATATACTAGCTCACTTCAAGGCTTAGTTTTTGGGGAAGAAAATAAGGGGGAAAAAATTCTGCCTCTGCCTACCAGCATCCATCAATATTCATCTGGCTAGCACCTGTCAGTGTGAGAGAGTTGAGGGCTGTTTGGAAACTGAAACAGTATTTGCTGTCTGAGCAAGGAGACAGCAAGGAGCCTGGGTGTGGCTTAGCTCAACTGTTCTGTACTAAAGCTGCTTGCTGGTGTGAAACTAAAACTGAAACTCTTCTCCTCTGCTTGTGTTTTGCATTTGGAACCAATTTCTTTTCAGATGGGGAGGGGGAGTAGAACTCCTTAGCATCAGAGCACGTTAATAATAATAATATAGGAAATACGCTAAATGCTCTGATGGTCATTTCAAAAAATCCTTTCTTAGTAAGGTCCTAGAAGCCAAGAGGAACATACATGCCAAATTTCAAGTTTGTAGGTTTTATGGTTCTGGAGATTTTGTGATGATGCATGAAGGGTATTTCGCTTTTATATATATATAGAAGAAGATAGATAGATAGATAGACATTTATCTTCCAAAGAAGGGTGGGAATTCATTCAATTAAGTTCATTGCTTATCAGACAGCGGGTGACCACTTGTCAACGATAAATTTCTAGGGTACTGCCCAAAATTGGGCGATAGCATATTCTTCCCACGCTACTTCTCACTTTCAGATCTGGCTGGGATTGCATCTTTTAAATCATGGTTTCTTTCGGCAGGGTTTGTTCAAAGAAGGGCCAGGTTCAGTCATTCCCTCTGCGTGGCCTTGTGGGCTGTAACTAGCCACGGAGTTTGCAAGCTTAACCAGTGGTGGCTTCCTTCCTTACCTAGCATGATTTAATAAGGCATGCAAGCTAGGTTATTCTACATTAACCCCCATAGCCATTGTCCTTTAACCAATCTGGGAAGACAAACTATATATATATATATATATATATATCCCCAAAAGCTAAGATTGTGAGGCTGTATTTTCTCTGGCAACGGACACTAGAATTGTTATCTGTGTCGTTGCTGTAGGAGAAAATACAAACATTCATGCAAATGAGTGAATGCTTTATTACTTTCCAGTTTACTATCGTTTTGCATAGATTGTGCCAAATGTTCAGAGGAAATACAGATTGTCCTCAGCTTACAGCCACAACTGAGCTGACATTTCCACTGCTGAGCAAGACCGTTATTAAAAGGGGGGGGGGGTTTGTCTCATTTTATGACCTTTCTTGCCACCGTTGCTAAGCGAACCCCTGCAGTTGTTAAGTTAGGGACATGGTTGTTAAGCAAATCTAGCTTCCCCGTTGACATTGCTGGCCAGAAAGTCGCAAAAAAAGGACACCGCGGCCGTCATAAAAACGAGTCCGTTTCCCCAAATGTTTACATTTTGATCCCGTGACCGTGGGAATGACTGCAACGGTCGTTTGTAAAACAATCATAAGTCACTTTTTTCAGTGCCGTTGTAATATTGGCCGCTAAACGAATGGTTATTAAGTCGAGGACTACCTGAGAAGATATTAATGGCCCATTCAGAAGAGCGTGCAAAAATTTAGAGGTGGGAGAGAGAGAGAGAGAGAAAGAGGAGGGGAGAGAAGGAGAGAGGAGGTGGAGGAAGAGGAGAAGGAGGAAAGAGAAAGAGAGAGAGAAATAGAGAAGGGGAAGGAGAGAGGGAGAGGAAGGAGGAGGAGGAGGAGGAGGAGGAGAGAAAGAGAGAGAGAAGGACAGGGAGAGAGGGTGGAGGAGGAGAGAGAGGGAGAGAAAGAGAGGAGAAGGAGGGACAGGGGAGGAGGGAAAGGGGGGAGAGGGAGAGAGAGAGAGAGAGAGAGAGAGAGAGAGAGAGAGAGATGGAGGACAAGTTGGTAATTCTCCTCCGTTCCTCCTCTCTCTTTTACAGCCCACCTTTTCTGGATCTCTGATCCCAGGGTGAACGGGAGATGCCACGCTCATTCCTGGTGAAAAATAGGAAGGTTCACTCATACCATCATCGTGCAGTGGATGACAGCATCCTGGTGCCCAGGTGGGATACAGGAACCTCTGCGTCCTTCTCCGATGGTAGGTTGGACGATTTCCCCAGCCAGAAATCTGGAAAGGAGGGTGCTGGCTGTACCCACAGAAGAAACCTCTTCCACCTCTCCTGCTGTGTGTGTGTGTGTGTGTGTGTGTGTGTGTGTGTGTGTGTGTGTGCAAATTTCTGCCCTGGGGTAGCTGGTCTTTCTACCCCATGCCACAAATGCAAAGCCCAAACTATTCTGTTGGGATGCCACTTTTCTTAAGCCACAACTAAAGCACGGAACTCGGCTTTTGTGAGAAACACACTTATCTCCACAATTGTTCCTAAGGGACATTTTAGTATAATGTAAGGATATTGTCTTCTACTTCTCCTTTTCTTTTTTCTTTTCTTCTTTTTTCTTTCCCTTCCCTCCTCTTTCCTCGTCCTCCTCTTCTTCTTTTCCTTTCTTTTTCCTCCTCCTCCTCCTCCTCTTCGTTTTTCTTTTTCTCTTCCTCTTCTTCCTCTTCTTCTTACTTCTTCTTTCTCCTCTTACTCTTCTTTCTTCTTCTTCCTCCTCCTCCACCACCACCTCCTCCTTTTCTTTTTCCTCCTCCTCCTCCTCTTCTACTTCTTCTTCTTCCACCTTTTCCTCTTCTTCTTACTTCCTCCTCCTCCTCTGCCTCAGTTGGATTAGAAAAGTGAGTTGCAAACGTAATCTTTGCAAGGCTGGGCAAATTCCGAGTAGAAAATTTCACTGAAAGGTTCGACAAGATTTTTGAGCCGGACGAGAACTTCCGGCAAAAGGGGCTGAATCATTTTTCAAATCCAGAGCATCCAAATGATATTTGGAAACGGCTGAAACGCTCCCTAATTCGCAGGAGTATATAAGAAGGGGGAGGAGGAAGGTCCAGCAAAGCCAGACTTGGAAGATGCTCTAATGGGAGCCGATCTCAGTCAAAGCAGCTTTGGTCTTCCTGTAGACTTGATAGCTTAGTCTGGTCTACCTGGCAGGGTTGATTGTCTAGTTTTATCGCCGGGGGATGTTTGCTCTGCCCCCATCACTCCCTGTTGATTATCTGGACCTGTCTTGATCTGAAAGCTTCGCTTGTGGACCATTTTTGGCATTACAGTTATTTCCGACGACAGCATCGCTGAAGACAGCAAGCGCTTCCAGGCAGACAACCCACCATGCTGCCCTCCAAACGAAGAACAGCATCTCCAGAGGGACAAGGAAGAGCATTTTCCCATTCAGAGTATAACACTGGCGGCACCCGAGCCCCCAAATCCAGGTGAGCGCTTCTGGCTGGGTTTTCATGCAGCCCCCTCACAGCCAGTGAAGGAATATTTATGGTTGACACCCAGTGAAACAGCCTCCATTGCAACGCACACCGATGAAGCCATAGGGAAAAAAGGGGATCAATAGAAGAGAGTATTTGTAGCTCAGGGCTGGACTGTGGGCTCTATTTCGTGACCCAACTAGGAACGTCATCAGTACTAGAAGGGAATGAAGGGTGTGGAGAGGGGAGAGGAAGAGGAGGAGGAGGAAGAGGAGGGGATCAATCTATTCTCCAAAGCACCTAAAGGCAGGACAAAAAGCTATGGATAGATTATCCATTCCTTGGTGCTCTCTGAGCTTGGTTATTTTCTTGCAGACGTTTCATTACCAAACTAGGTAACATCACCAGGGCCCTTTTCTCACTATGTCCCACACTTAGTGAGAGTTGGGTAGAAACCCCCACTCCCTTCTAGCACTGACGATATCACCTAGTGTGGTCATGAAATGTCTGTGAGAAAAAAAACAACACCACCACCCAAGCTCAGAGAGTCCCAAGGACCCCACAGAAAAAGGCTAAATTTATCCAGAGAAAAAAAGGGCAAGTCAAAGTCACGTTCTACAGGGAGTTTAATTCTACCCCGAGGCTCTTCCACACTTGGCAACCCAGAAGGGGCCCATCCTAGGTCCTGATAGATAGTCTGGCCCAAACCCAGTCTTAGAACTGATCCTTAGCTAGAAATCCCTTTGATGCTCCAATGCTCTCGGATGCTCCTTTTCCTCTTGTCTCAGAGGTGCCCACCCCGGCTTTCAAATCTCAAGTGGAGAAGGCGTCCGCTTTCTACAACCCCAGTTTGGCCTGGAGCTCCTTCCGGCCTCCCTTTGGCTACAGATCCATGTCTTCCGCTGTGCTGGAGCACCCCCTTCATCTGTACGGGCCCCCCATCCTTCCTGCCTCCGACCTGCCTCTCGATTACAGCATGCCGTTCTCGCCTGAATTGGGGAGCTACCATTGCATCATATGCAACAAAGTGAGTGGCTCGGAGGTTGGAGCAGAACGGAAAAGCCGTTTTCAACCTGAGGTGGTCCCGGGGGGCTCCGTAAAGACTTGAAGCAACATGATATCATAGCAGTCTTCCAATATGCCACCTTTTGCTTCCTAGACGTTCTCGACCCCACACGGGCTGGAGGTCCACGTTCGAAGATCCCACAGCGGCACTCGGCCTTTTGCTTGCAGCGTTTGCGGGAAAACATTTGGGCACGCGGTCAGTTTGGAGCAACACACCAACATCCACTCTCAGGTCAGTCTGGAAGCTGGAGAGGGGAGGGGAAATATATCTATATGGGTAAAACTGTGGCTCGTGCCCAGATCCTGCTCCCCTGCCTTGTAGAATAAATTCAGCCATTAAAGTATATGTATATGATTGGGCTTATAAGGTTTACCAATAAAGGAGAATATTTGTAGCTGGGGGTTGACATGAGGTGCTCCCTGAGCTGTGTGGTTTTCTTGCAGACGTTTCATGACCCAACTAGGTAACGTCATCAGAGCTAGAAGGGAGTGGGGTGTGCAGGGAGGAGGAGGAGGAGGAGGAGGAAGAAGAAGAGGAGGAAGAAGAGGAAGAAGAGGAGGAGGAGGACTGAAGTCCTTAGTGCTCTCTGAGCTGGGTGGTTTTCTTGCAGACGTTTCATGACCCAACTAGGTAATGTCATCAGTGCTAGGAGAATGTGTGGAGTGGTGGAAGAGGGGGGGGGAGGACCGTAGGGTCTTTGGAGTCTCCGAGTTGGGTGGTTTTCTTGGAGACATTTCATTATCCAAACCAGGTAAATAATAACTAGGTAACATCATGAATAACGTCATAATCCGGGAAGGAATCAAAGCAGAGGCAGTGAACTAATAAGGAAGAGATCTTAACTCCGAGTGGACCTTTAAAAAGGATAGAAGCAAAGAGGATGTTTCCTGATTTGGGTCATGAAAATGTCTGCAAGAAAACCACCAAGCCCAGAGGCCACAAAGGCCCTTCATTGCAAGGTTTAAGGATTTAGGTAGAGCAAGGTTTTCAGGGTTCCTGATTTGAAAAACTTAATTCCCAGCTTCCTGCCATTGTTTGCGATATAGTTTAGCCTCCATTTTCCCTCCTGTGAAGTTCAGTGTGGTCCCTACAGTTGGATTCTTCCCTCTGGGATTCGAATAATTTAACAACCGGTTCACTGCCCTAATGATTTCTTCCAACAACCAGTTCACCAAACGGCTCAGAAAGGTAACAACCGGTTCTTTGGAACCGGTGCAAACCGGCTGAATCCCAGTACGGCTCCTGCTGTAATATTCTCTTCTTCCACCCTCTCCCTTCTCCCCTTGGTGTCCTGACCCCCAGGAGAAAAGCTTCGAGTGCAAAATGTGTGGAAAGACGTTCAAGAGGTCCTCCACCTTATCGACTCACCTGCTGATCCACTCCGACACCCGTCCGTATCCCTGCCAGTACTGCGGGAAACGTTTCCATCAGAAGTCGGACATGAAGAAACACACCTACATTCACACAGGTGAGCGGGAAAAGCTGATAAAAAGTCAGAATGGTGATTTCAAGACCCCGGGAGGAAGATCCTGCAACCCTCAGAAATACACGCCAGTTGTATTTCATGTCCAGATTGTCTGACTTTTGATCGTGTGTGAAAAAGGCTCCTCCATCCCTTTTTCCCCCCCCCCCAATGCTGTCATAACTTCGAACGGTCACTAAACAAACAGCCGTAACTCCAGTATGACTGGTTCCTCTGACTGTAATGCTGCCGGCGACCTTCAATCAGGGGTGGGGTTCAGCCGGTTCGAACCGGTTTGAGCGAACAGGTAGTTCCAGCGATCAGTTGGCCCCGCCCACTCACCCCTGCCCGTGTGCTATCCTTTATTTCAGGGGTCTGCAACCTTAATCACTCAAAGAGCCATTTGGACCTATTTTCCCACACAAAAGAAAACCCCGGGAGCCAATAATTCGACAACCGGTGTGACCGGGTGGGCGTGGCCAACTCGATGTCACTCCCTCCCACCCAGTCACCTCCTGCCCTGGAATATGGAGTCAGTCTCCATCCCCCGCCATCCCCCTTACCTTCTCAGGCCAGTAGAGGAGTGACGGGGGAGGGGAAGGGCCAGCCAGTGGTGGGATCAGCCGACAGGGAGCCACAGGAGAGGGCTGAAAGAGCCGCATGTGGCTCCAGAGCTGCAGGTTGCCGATCCCTGCTTTATTTCCATGTTTTGAAGCTCAGCTGATTCGCGTGGCACCGCGTATTGCCGCGGATCAGCTGTTTTTTTACTACAGCCGAAGGTAAGTATTTGCTGTTTTTAAAACATTGCGCGCATGGACTCACCAATCCGGTTGTTACACCAGCTGAATCCCACCACTGCCTTCAATCCAACTGGCCACTGTTGAAAGCCCGGCTGAACCGAAAAGCGGGGAGAAGGCAAGAAGGACCGATTGCGATCCAGGAAAGTTAAGACCGGATTGCCGCCACCACCGCCAGCGTTCCTAAAATGTTCCTTTTTCTCTCCTTCTCGCCCAGGGGAAAAGCCGCACAAATGCCAGGTGTGTGGCAAGGCCTTCAGCCAAAGCTCTAACCTCATCACCCACAGCCGCAAACACACCGGCTTCAAACCTTTTACCTGTGAGCTGTGTGGGAGAGGTTTCCAGCGCAAGGTGGATTTGCGGCGTCACCGAGAGAGCCAGCACAGCCTCAAGTGAGAAGAGGATTCCGATCACGGAAGGAGCTGTGGAGGAGGGTTGGGAACCTGCAGCCGGAGAGCTGTAGACGGTCCTTGGCCTGGATTGTAAACCCCACCCACTTTGGCTCTAGCTCCACCCATTTTGCTTCTGATGCCGCCTACTTTGGGCCATGGCTCCACCCACTCACCGGGGGTAGATCTCCGACTGAATCTACAACCGTGAAAGCCTTTTAGCCCATCAAAAGCTCCGTTGGGTTAAGAAATGGTTGAATAATAATGATGATGATAACGCCTGTAAGAAAGATTACTTTTTTTCCTTCTCTTTCATCAGAGATCTGGAGTAAAAAGTAGCAGAGGATTTGAACTGGTTTGTGAAGTCAGAAGGAGAGAGAGAGAGACGGCAAAAGAATCTAGATTTACTATGCTTCTCTGGGCTTTGCAAATGCAACCGTGTTCGGATTAGAAGACTACGTTAAGGGAAAGTGTTTAGGGATGCCAGTGGGTGGAATAAGCAAGGCAAATCTGCAAAAACTACCCATAAAAAACAAATCAGACACCAGGTTTCTGTGGTGGAAAACAAAGGATCTGGTGTTCATGGGTATTTCCATCGCTACCCACGATTTACATGATCCCTGTGCAAAGGTAGCAAGATTTTGTCTCTGTTCAAATCTCTGTTTCCTGGTTAAAAAAAAAAAATTGAAGTCAATAAATGCTGTTAACAAACAATTTGAGTCCTGAAATTTGGCCTTTGCTGAAAGAGATCGGTCACAATGTATGACATCCCAGGACGTATTTAGACAAACACATCGAAGCCTCTATCCAGGTTAACGCGACACAATAGATGCGTTCGCACCCTAGAGCTGTGCAAAGAGCCAGCTTGAGGTTTAATATTTCGGTCTGCTGCATCACGCAGTAAATTAGGATGTGGTTTTGTTCCCACAACACAGCAAAACTCAGGTTAACAACAGATTCAATTAAGGGCCACGTTATTTGCTGAGCAACGGCAAAAATTTGCTTTAACATCCATGGCAAAAAGCATCGTCAAATCAGGCATGGAGCAAATGCCTCGCTTAGCGGTGGGAATTCAACCATGGCAAAGAGGTCATAAAATAGACCACTGGGACGCCCACCAACTTTGGGAACGAAAGCCCGGAGTGATGTCATGGTGGCATCTGATGATGTTTTCAATGTATTAGATAGATAGATAATCAGAGTTGGAAGGGATCTTGTGGGTCATCTAGTCCAACCCCCTGCCCAAGCAGGAGATCCTACACCATTTCTGACAGGTGGCAGTCCAGTCTCTTCTTGAAAGCTTCCAGTGGTGAAGCTCCCATAACTTCTGAATAACAGAATAGTACGGATAAAATCACTCTATTATTTGCCTCCCGGCTTTTCCCGAAGGTTGGGAACCTGCCAGCTTTTTTTTTGTGTGTGTGTGGGGGGGGGGGAACAGACATAAGTACATGCCAGTTGCCAAATGTCTAGATTTTGATCATGTAACCATGTGGATGCTGCAACTAAGCATGGAAAATGATCTTGAGTCCCTTTTCTCAGTGGTGTTGTAAGTTCAAACAGTCATTAAACGAACTGTTGTAAGTTTGTCAGGGGAAGAGAGCAGAAAGGAGTAACAGTAAATACACAAAGACTCACACGCACACACATTGTTTTTCCTGGAAGGGAATCGCTTTGCATGGCCCTGATTTGCTAACCAAAGCAGGCCATCCAAAGATCGCAGTCAGAGGCAGGGAGGGGTTGCGCAAGAGAAGCCAGCTTGGGAGAACTGGTTTCCCTGTGGCTCCTCGCTTGGATGAGATTTTGGCATCAGCCCTTGGTTAACTGTCAGTCAAATCATGTGAGGTGGGGAGTTAAGGGAGGTGAACAACAAAGAAGTGTTGTTCGAGGTGAGATTCGAATTTGCATGTTTTCTTCTGAGAAAGAAGAAGCGTGCGGATTCCCATTCAGGAACCTTGGATCTGGTGGAAGTTTTTCAGGGTGGAGAAGGATGGGGTGGGGGCCCTGAAATACAGCCCCCTCTTCTCTCTTTCCCTCTCTCTCCCTCTCTCCCCCCCCCTCTCCCTTTTAAATCACTTTAATAGATTTTAAAACAATGGAAATCGAGAAGAATTTATAATTAAGAAAGAAGAGAAGAGAAAAACTAAAGAATGGAAAAGAAGCCAAGAGAGGAAAGAAGGGAGGAAGGGCAAGAGAAAGGAAAGAAAGAAAGAAAGAAAGAAAGAAAGAAAGAAAGAAAGAAAGAAAGAAAGAAAGAAAGAAAGAAAGAAAGAAAGAAGACAGAAAGGGAGGGAGGGACAGAAGGAAGGAAGGGGAAAAAAGGAGGAAAGAAAAGAAAAAGAGGGAGGGAGGGAAGGAAGAAGAAGAAGAAATAAAAGGAAGGAAGACAGACAAAGAAAGAAAGAAGGAAGGAAGGAAGGAAGGAAGGAAGGAAGAAAGAAAGAAAGAAAGAAAGAAAGGAAGGAAGGAAGGAAGGAAGGAAGGAAGGAAGGAAGGAAGGAAGGAAGGAAGAAGTCAAAGGACTTCTTTCTTTTACCGTGGATATTTACATTTACATCAAACTCTCATTTTAAGTTTACCACATAACCTTCATTTTTCTCTTTTATATCTCCCTCTTGAAAAAGCTTGCAAAGCAAGGAGGATTGATGTGGGGAAGTGCAGCTTGGAAATCTGAAGCGATAGAGGGGTTGGGTTGGTGACCCGTGTTTGGAGTGATAAGTTTATCGGGCCTCGCCGGCTGTCAACGGTCAGCGGGCCTGTTTGGGAGGAGAGGGAACATTTCCCAGGGCAAGATAGGTCGCTCAGCCTCGGTCTTATCAACCCCGGTCTGAATTGGAGGAGCCCCCCCTCAAACAGCTCTCCCTCCCCTCCAGGCAGATTGACAGCAGGTGGGAGAGTGAAAGACAAATGCCAAATCTCTCCAAAACGCTTTTCTTCTTCCTTCCCCAACCTTCCCCTCCGTTTCCTCATGCCTGTCATTTTAATTAAGAATTTAGATGACAACAATAAAATCTAATACAAGAGAAGAGAAGGGAAGGGAAGGGAAGGGAAGGAGGAAAGAAGGAACGGAAAAGAGGAAGGGAAGGAAAAGGTGGAAGGAATAAAAGGGAAAGGAGGAAAGGAAGAAAGGAGGAAAAAAGGAATGTGAAAGGAAAGAAAGGAGGAAGGGAAGGGAAAGGTGGAAAGAACGAAAGGAAAGGAGGAAGGGAAGGGAAAGGAAAGGAGGAAGGGAAGGGAGGAAGGGAAAGGAAAGGAGGAAAGAAGGAAAGGAAAGGAAGAAAGGAAAGGAGGAAGGGAAGGGAAAGGGGAAAAGGAGGAAAATAAAGGAGGAAAGAATGGAAGGGAAGGGAAGGGGGAAAAAAAGAAAGATTCTTATTTACAATTGATCTTTTCCCCCCCTGGAATACTCCAAGGGTCTAACAATCTAATATAAGATATCACAATTAAAAAAAGCAAATAAAAAGATAATTTATGTAATGACAACTGCCTTACTGGCTGTGTTCCACAGTGACTGAACGATTATTTGCTGCCTGCTGGAGTGAAATGAAGAGGAGGAAAGGATTAGGTGGAAGAGCAGTGGATGATGGGTTTAGCCAACTGAGTGTGCTTCAATGATACGAGGGTCATATGTCGGACTCCCAAGACATGACGTACCAACAGCTTTACAAGAAAACTTTTGGGTTTTTTTTCCAAGATCATTTCCAAGCAAACTCACTTATCTCCTGTCCCAAATATTGCAGCTTTCATTTCATTTTTGGCTACAGCTTAAAAAGAACAAAACCCTGGCATGCTTCCTTCCTTTCTGCCCAAAGCAAATTATCTTTCAGGAGCAGGAAGTTTTAAAAAATAGCAAGAAAACCGCTGGGAACCCACAGTGGAATAAAGTTGTCCCTCAGATGATTGCATCCTCAAGCATCCTGTGGGTTCAACCTGTCAGTCATCCACTCTCAAGGCCACCGAAAAATCCTTTGGGTTCAAGAAATTGGAGTGTGCTATCACACATCATAGTATTTGAATGTTATTGAATTTTAGTCCAAATAGTTGGAGTAGGAGACCTCTAAGGGGTCTGGAAGACCTACAAGGAACTAGAAGATGCCCAAGAGGTCTTGAGGGGCTGCCCCAAAGAAATGGGAGTCAAGCTATTCTCCAAAGCACCAGAAGGCAGGAGAAGAAGCAACGGGTGGAAACTAACCAAGGAGAGAAGCAACCCGGAACTAAGGAGGAATTTCCTGACAGTGAGAACAATTAATCAGTGGAACAGCTTGCCACCAGAAGTTGTAAATGTTCCAATACTGGAAGTTTTTAGGAAGAGATTGGACAACCATTTGTCTGAAATGTTACAAGGCTTCCTGCCTGAGCAGAGGGTTGGACTAGAAGACCTCTGAGGCCCCTTCCAACTCTTATTCTAGCAACTCTTTTTGTTGCACCCACTTTGGCCAATATAAATATTCTTGCTGACAATGTATTGGGAACCGAGTTCTTCAAAATATATTTATTTCAAAATATTTGCAGTGTATGCTTTCCACACACACACACACCCATCTTGTACAGGTAGTCCTTGACTTACAACCATCCATTTCATGACCATTTGAAGTCACAACAGCACTGAAAAAAGCAACTGATGGCCATTTTTTTCCACACTGACGACCGTTGCAGCCTCCCCCGTGCTCACGTGTCCAAGACGCTCGGCAACTAACACATATTTACGATGGTCGCAGTGCCCTGAGAGTCATGTGATCTCCTTTTGCAAACCAAGTCAACGGGGAAGCCACATTCACTTAACAATTGTGTTACTAGCAGAACAACTGCCGTGATTCCCTTAATATCGGTGGCAGAAAAAGGTCACAAAATGGAATAAAACTGCCCTGTCTCATTTAGCAACAGAAATGTTGGCCTCAGTGGTGGTCGTAAGTCAAGGAGTACCTTGTTGTAGGGCTCTCAGCGGTTTGTAACAACAATAAAACCACAAACGGAGAACAACCCTGAAAAACCAAATTAAAACCAGCCACTACAATCCCCTAGGTCGCATTTTTTTTGTAGAGAATCGGGGAAGGGAAACAACGCAATGCCGTTTTCTTTCCTTCGCAGGCAGGTGTCTAAAAAGGTTGGTCTGAAATTCTCTCACTGCCTCTTTTCTCTTCTTCAGCCTGCAGAAATGAAATCCCTTGGAAAGGCTCTCAGTCACAACAACCCCTGTTTTATCACTTCTCAGCACCTGCCACCATTGTCCTTCGCTTTCTCCGCCTGTGGGTGATTCAGCAAAATCTTCCTGGAGCAGAAAACGAGGCTTGCAAAGCAGCAAATCACAATGACAGGCAACCAAGAGGAAGCAGAAGAATATATGGCAACAAGGGAAACTGGTTCCCTGAGTAAGAACGAGATGGGATGGAATGGAACGTTGCATTCGGTTCTCAAAAGACAGCCATCATGCATGTACCCAACTCACCTGCCCAAATATGATAGACAAACATCAAAGTCTAGTTTGAATGTATAGGAAGGAAGGAATGATACAGAAAAGATGGAAGAAGGAAGGAAGGTTCCTCAGCTACAAAGTTGCTTCTGTTTCCATATCTATCTGGAAAGGAGGAAAGAGGGATGGAAGGAAGGAAGGAAGCAAAGAAGGAAGGAAGGAAGCAAAGAAGGAAGGAAGGCAGGAGGGATGGAAGGAAGGAAGGAAGCAAACAAGGAAGGAGGGAGGAAGGGAAGGAGGGAAAGAAGGAAGCAAAGAAGGAGGGAGGGGAGAGGGAGGGAAGGAAGGAATCACTATTTCTGAATAGTTTTTATCCCAGAGCTATAATTGCACTTAACAATGAACTTAAGGACCAACCATCACTGAACTGTTGGACAGGGTTACTTGGTCTGCTGGGTGGATGCTTGCGTGTTTTTAGGGGGCAGGGAATTTTGGTGGGTGGGGAGTGTTTGGGGACTGTCATGTGTGTGTGCATGTTGAATCTGGTCTTTGGGTGTTATGTGAATTCCGTTGTATACTGTGTATATACGTACAAGGACAATAAATAATTCAATTCAATTCAGTTATCAGTTATCAAATGCTATGGGAAAGGAGGGAAGGGAGAAAGAAAGAAAGAAAGAAAGAAAGAAAGAAAGAAAGAAAGAAAGAAAGAAAGAAAGAAAGAAAGAAAGAAAGAAAGAAAGAGAGCCATGAACGACAGTAAGAAATACTGGATTACGAGAGTCGGAAAAGGAAGAAAAAAGGCAGGGCAGCTCCTGCTTCGAGCAAGGTAGGAACTCTCCTTTCCCGGAACATTATTTCCTTAAGCTGCGTGGCTGTGGGGCCCGGGGGGACGCTTTTCAGGAACGGACCGAGCTGTTCTCCTTCGCGTCGGCACCCAACCAGCCATGGCATCCTCCTTCTCCTCCTCCTCCATGGAGGGTGGCGAGCCAGAGCAGAGCAGCGGGGCGGGCGGCGGCAGCAGCGGCCCGGTGCTTTCGGAGCTGCAGCGGGAGAAGCGGCTGGCGTGCGTGGAGTTCCCCGGCGTGGTGCAGGACGTGGGCAAGACCCTGCTGACCCTGGGGGGAGAAGAAGGGGTCTCCCGGGTAAGGATTTCCCCCCAAGCCTCGCCTGTCTACTCGCAGGAGCAAAGGGAGGGAGGAGGGAGGCACTTTGCACATGCTCACAGAGATTGCAATTAGACTAGTCTTTAAAGTGTCATTTGTGGCACATACATCCATATATTGCATATGTTTACATATTATATGCATTATATGTTATACTACGCGTATGTATTGTATGTATGTATGTATACACATACATACAAGAAAAAATAAATGAAAAAAATAAATAAGCAGGCCTTCCACCCTTCTTTCCATTAACTACAGTAGTTATATCATATTTTTTTCCTCCTCCCCTCTGGCTGTTTTTATTTATCAATCCATTAAAAAAATTAGCAGCAAAAAGCCCATTTAAGGTTTCTAACATGTCTTTTTTGTTTGGCTGGCATCAGGATTCCAAGGGCTAAAATTGGGAGTAAAGTTCTAATTTCAGATAAAATATTTCGGTCTCCTTTTCTGTCGTCATTAGGAGTGGAATTTGACCTCTTGGCTGTTGCATCCTTATTAGATTTATGCCGATCCAAGCAAAAGACTTGAGCTGTATTTCCGTCCCAAAGACCCCTACTGCCACCCAGTGTGCGCCAATCGCTTCCCTACCTCTTCGATGCTGCTCAAAGTGAAAAAGAAAACGAGGAGGAAAGGGACAGAGGAAGGAAGTCTGGAAGAAGAAATAAAGTTTGAAGTGGAGATACTTGGTGTCATTTCTACTGTTTATAAATTTCAAGGTAATTTATTCTAAATTAGGAGTGTGTGTATAAGCAAGCCCTTATATCAGCTTGTTGTAATATGTATGTATGTATGTATGTATGTATGTATGTATGTATGTATGTATTTGTTTTCTTAAGTTTTCGCGGGTACTTACATGTATGGTATTCAGCTTTGTTCGGGTATTTTCCCACGTCATTATAGTTGTGCTTTTAAAGTTGTAGCAACGTTTCAGCAGAATCTCATCTGCTATCATCAGGCTTCTGTATTGTGTTCGTCTAGTCCTGAATGATGGCAGATGAGATTCTGCCGAAACGTTGCTGCAACTTTAAAAGCACAACTATAATGACGTGGGAAAATACCTGAACAAAGCTGAATACCATATATATATATGGTATATATATTTATTCTAGCTTACTCCACCCTTAAACTAAGGCAATGAGAAAAAGGAATGACTTATGTACAAAATCTGTATTTTTGTTCTTGTTCACTCTGGCTAGCTAATTTGATAACTTTCCAATTTGCCAATTTCCTTATCATGTTTCTATGCAAAGTCCTAATATGTCATGGACAATTTATCCAGATGTATTATTACTTACAAATCTGATTCTAAGAATGTCAAAGTAGGTTGCTGTTTATGTTTATCTATTTTGTTACCTATTTTGTAGAGTGAGGGAAAAAGTCAGTTGCTGTGGAATGAACTTTCTTTGTGCACTTTAATTTCACTCTAGGTATGTCTGATTTCCAATACTTGGTAATGCATTCAGAGCCAGACGGCAAACAAACATCAATGTATGACAAAGTCTTGATGCTCAAGCCAGAAAAAGAAGATTTTTTTATGAATGAGCTGCCACTCTATATTCCTCCACCCATTTTCTCACGCCTGGACAATCCTATTGATTATTACTACCGGCCAGATGTACATCATAGGTGAGTGCCTTTCTTGTGAAATAACGGAGTAGATATTTACTGGAATATCCTATCTCTGGAGAAGTGGACAGGTGTCTCTACTCGTAGTAAGGATCTGGCTTTTAGTAAAGTGGATTGTAATTGCTGTAAATAAATGATAAGAGTGAGTAGAGTGTGTTATAATTGTGGCAAATGAATAAGAAATTTTTCAATAGTCGGAATAATTAGACGGGGAAAGTACTTATGGAAGGATGCATTGAAGCAGAAACTAGACAGCTGTGTGTCATTTGTCCTTGGGTTGAATAAGTGTTTTGACTTGGTACAGCTTGGAATTTTATATTTAAGTTTTACAATTAAGCTGCCTATATGTCAGCTTAATTGTGACCGTATGTCGAAGGCTATCTGTATTAGAGAGGGGCTGTCTTCATCTTCTTTCTCTCACACATGATATCCAGTCTAATCTGCCTCTTATTCCTCTGGAATGCAACCTCTCCCTCCAGAAAATCCACTTCTTTATTACATTCCATCATATTATGGGTTTTACACATTCAGTTGATCCAGGGGTGGGGTGGGGGTGTCACATACTCTTAAGTGGCTTTGCTTTACACATCTCCTGGTGCCTCTTGGTTCCAGCAAATAACATGTACTAGTTTTGACAGTTGCAATAGGCAGGTATAATCTGTTCCAAAGGTTTCCACACCTTGGTCTGCTTTCCTTTGTCGTAACCACACAGCTCTTCAAATGACTTCTACGCAGCTGCATGAATCCAAACTGGTGCGTAATATTTGGAAAACGTTTTCCAATCTGTAAGAATGCCAGAGCTGAATTCCATTTGCTGTTGCAGAAGTTGGTAATAAGAGAGAATCAAATGCAAGCAATTGCAATATCTTGCTCCTATCAGCACTGCTACATTTTATCAACCAAATGCCAAGATGTCTGGCATTGACCACAAATGTCCCTGTACTCGGTTCTTTTTCCATTCTTTGATGTGACATCTGGATGGTCTCCCATGCTAACATCTGTGATTTTTCCCACTCCTGCAAAGGCTTATAAAAAAAGGTTGACGTAATTTTCCATGCAAAATTGGTTTGCTTCTTCTTGGAGGCTGAATTAGGTAATTAATTCTGCAGCTCTTGATGTGAGGTTGCAATTCATCTCTTTAAAAATATTTTTATTGAAGTTTATAATCAAAGTAAAAAAAGAAACAAAAGTTAGCAAGGTCAAAGAAGGAAGAAGAGCAATTGAAGCAGCAGATATTGTGCAATCTTTAGGGAAACCATTCGGTGGTGTATTTTTAAAACAAAAGGATTGAAATGAGCTTTAGGTTTAGCTTGAGTTGAGTTTCCTTTGTGTTGTGCTGTTCTCCAGAGAAGGCTATCGCAACCCTCCCCTGTCCAGCGAGAATCTGATTGGCCTCAGCAGGGCCCGCCGTCCTCACAACGCTATCTTTGTCAACTTTGAGGATGGAGAGGTCCCTTCGAAGCCGTTGGAGGCTGCTGTGCAGACTTGGAAAAAAGTCTGTAGCAACACCGTGGATCACCAAGCAGAAGCAGAGCTGAAGAAAGTAGGTTTGCCTAAACTTGAAACCTCCCTAAAAATAAAATAAATAGCAATACATACTTTGGATCGAAAATGGCAGCATGTTGAAGTCTCGGATCTTGTGTTATTTTTAAAATGCAGCTTCCTAGTTCTGATGGAGGGCTTGGCATTCTGTGGCTCTCCTTGCCTCTTTGGGACGCCTTAGATCAGGGGGTCTTGAAACTTGACAGCTTTAAGACTTGTGGACTTCAATTCCCAGAATTCCTCCTCCAGGCATGTTAGCTCAGGAATTCTGGGAGTTGAAGTCCACAAGTCTTAAACTTGCCAAGTTTGAAGACTCTTGCATTAGATAAATTACATTGCAAAAAAAAACAACACCCAAAAAACAGAGTCAAATTCCCAACATTTAACAGGACACAAAATTTTGCTTTTTTCTCTTCGCAGAAATAAACTGCAGACACGCTCTTTCCTTCTTGCACAGGATTACATGTGCAAATTAAGTTTAGAAAGCTGCCTTTGCTCCACAGGACCCAACAGTCTTTGGGTTGAGAGTTACATGTTGGAGAACCACATTGGGGTAACTTATTAGCAGATGCAGTGGGAGATTGAGTTTATGGATTGAATATATGCATCCACTGTCTTTTAGTGAAAGGATTTGAAGGACAGCTCATAAAACATTGTCTGAGATGGAAGTCCGTGACTACCTTCCTTCCTTCCTTCCTTCCTTCCTTCCTTCCTTCCTTCCTTCCT